AATAACGCATAATTATGATTAGGTATAAATGAGATAAGATTTGTCCATCATCATCCCTTTTGCAAGCATGGTGAACTATCATTTTTAATATATTTTTCGAAACAGTGCTTGGTAAGGAACATCCTGGGAAAGTTTCAAAAAAATCGTTCGAGGACTTTATTTCTGAGGAATCACCTTAATCTCAAGAGCCAGGAGGGAAAACGTTGTTTTTGGCATAACCGTAACAGGGTCATAACTGTAGTCAGATGACAGCCGACAAAGAATTCATATCGGCTGTTTTACCCAAGTTCGTGTCAATGAGCAGATATGAGGATTGAAAAAAAGTGAATTAGATCTCACTGTAATCGCTTTCAGTGAAATTGTCCAAAACCCCAGGGAACAGTAGCCTCATACACAGACCTTCTTATGGCTCGTCCATGAAAAGCCAAGAGTCTGCCCAAAAAATGACTAGCTGCAAAGGAGGCCAAGGAGGCCAAGGAGGCCACAGAAACACTTGTAAAACACACAAGCTATTTTTGCTCTTCCTTTGCCTATATTTCAAGCTTTCAATCGTTACATTCCAGTACAAACTCTCATTGACACACAGCCTCATTCCCAGGCTCTCTCTCTTTTGGAAGGCAAAGAAGAGAGAGCCTGGGAACAACGTTAGCTGTCTCACATATTGTTTGTTTTTCCCAGTTAAAGATGGTTTCCAGTCTGTGCTGTACAGTCTCAGCATCCTAATGTTTATAAACATAAAAAATCTCACTCGATGGGATGCAAATCGATGTTTTTCATTATGAACCACATACCTGATTCTCTTAATGGTCTTTCAAATTCTTTTTTCAACTGCTCCATTGATTTTTACAGCTGCAAAGTTGTTTCATCAAGTGATATGAGAAAGAATGAAGCATAAAGCTTCGCATCCATAATGGTGTTTGACTAGACATGAAACTGAATTTACTTAAGTAGTTGAGAAATGTTTGCATTTTGTGATGTCATACATGAAACAAAACAAAGATCGTAAACAAACTCTCGAGTGTGCGCAGTAGGGACTGGAAATCATCTTTAACTTGCGATACCTGTGCACAACTATGGATAAACAGAGACCATCTTTATTGTCTTTTTATATCTATTATTGTCATCTTTTTTAGAGTCCTGCTATTGGGTTGTTCCCATGTTCACAGGTACTTCATACATAAAATTTCTCGCTGTACACCATCAGTATACACTTTACGCACTGAAACATCAAACACGCCATCCATTTTAACCAGCTTCTCAAAACTCCTTGTCCCTCCACCAACACCAAAGTAATGTGTTTTCGCCGCCACGTAGGCAATACCGTTAGGTTCCTTCAAATGTCTCTTGATAACATTGTACAACTTGACGTGGGATTCCACTGCATAAATTGTTTCTGAAGTTAGAATTACATCATACATCATTTCTTTAACTTGTCCTGGATTGATAAAATCTACCACACTACCCCAGTCTCCAGAAAAGAAACGACAACATTTTCGCGCGGTTTCCAGAAGGTCAAACGATGATGTCTCTGATTGGCATTGTTTCTGTTGCTGTGCAAGGTTCGCCAATACATTAGGAATCGTTACATATTCGATAACGTCGTCGTTGTAGTCTTGAAAATGAACTTCAGCCCCTTGTAGAAGAGCATATATTCCCGGTAACCCAGCACCGCACCCTATTTCCATTACAAGCTTTCCATGAAAGTTCATTCTACTTTCCAACAAATATTCCACCAAATCAATACTGCATTCCCATATTTTGAGCCCTCCTTCGTACACCAAAGGAATCAAGTCCGTGCCATTTTCAGCAGCTGTTAGAATATCGTGACCAGAAACGTCCTGCCTGTCTTTCAGATTCTCTTCCACGTTCGAATCGCTCACATGTTTTATGCACAAGTTGCCACCGCTTATGGGAATTTCTTCCACGTCTGATGGCAGATACGCAGAAAGATTAGATTGGATTAGAATTTCCTTTGCTTTGCGTACAATTGACGATTCGCACGATATCTCTAAACGACTCCCTGGCGGAGAAGCATCTCTCTCTTCGTCGCTGTCTTCGGACGAAAAGTTGAACTTGAAGTCCGCCATGTTGTATTACCAGGTAACCTCTCTTTGATTGAAAGGCTTGGTTTCTCAGGGTGGCGGGAAGGTTTTCGACATGTGCTAGCAGTTGTTTGTTTCGTTTTATTTCTTTACGTCGTTTATGTCTCTCAGATTTAACTCCAAACATCATCACAGAAGAATTTGAGCTTTCGGAAGGAACATGAATCCCAATCAATGCGGATTAATTGTGTTTTCGCTGAACTCGAATAAAGACTTGTCAGAAAAAATTGCCAGGTGAGCTGTAAACTATGAGCCTTGTACATTTCAACATTGTTTTATGAATACCCTCCTTTGCTTTAATAGTCAATTAACGGATCATATTGACAAATGTTTATTTCTAGTTAAACTGACAGTAATTTGTTAAGTTGTCATATGACTCTTTCCTTGGCAGGAAACTGGGAATAGAGTTGGCCCAATGCAGTGTGGGAAAATTTCAGAACCAAGGTGAAAATTAAAATGATCTCTCAGAGAATACATCCCTCTTACTAACTGAGGTGTGTAGTGCTAGACACAACAGTCCAAACCCAAAAAACATGAAAGTAACTGCTATCTGTGTGTGTCCTCTTTAGAAACTAAAGTGAAGATAGGAGTTTCTGTCCGTGGCAGAGATGTGTACATCATACAGTCAGGCCTGGGGTGAGAGAAACTGATATGCTATTAATTAATTTATTCAATTATTAATATTGACTAATTACTTTAGGCTCCTCCTGGAGCAAGGGATCCACATTGCTAGGCCAGTGCCAGCTGTAACAGTTTTTCGTCATTTGAACTTCTCTAGGTCTTAACAGGCCTTCCTGGACACCTTCCCTTTTCTATTGCTCACAAGAAAAATTTGTGAAAGTTTGGTGCCAATAAAATTGGCCCGTCACTTGTACTTAGGCTCTCTCTGAGGGAAACTACATCCAGGATACCCTGATCTTATAGCAGCTGTTGTTGTAACAAAACCCTTGTGGTCGATTGAGGAATAAAGACTGTGTTCATTGAGTTCTCAGCACTGCCTGAGTTGTCTGTGCCGGCTAACATCATTGCTGTTACGGCGATTTCTATGATTAGTTTGTAAGCCTACCACGCCAGCAGTTACTTGTGTGAGACATGTGCTTCAATACAGTTGAGTGTGACCCACCATCTTGTGTTGTACTTCTCATTCCCTTCTTTTTCCCTATGAGAACAAAACATTTGGGATAACTAAAAACAGCTGTGGGACTGGCACTCATCTGCGATTAACGACATTAATGTTCCCACAGCTTTTCTCATTCTCCCAATCTTCCAAGTTTGTTCCATAACTCCATAGACATATGGAAAATGTCTAATACTGTTTCTAAAATAAGAGTCTGTATTTAATTCCAGTGAGAGTCTTGATGTTAATGATGCACTTATGGAATTGTTCATCATGGCTTATGCCTGTAAAACGGCCTGTGCAAGAAGAATTATTGGTAAGGCATAATTACACAGTTGAAATGTGTTTTGCAGTGGACTCACTTTTGATCAATTTGTGGAGAGACAAATCTCACTTCATATTTGTTTCACAGGTGTCATTCCTTACCTGCCGTATTCCAAGCAGGCTAAAATGAACAAAAGAGGATCCATTCCTTCAAAGCTGGTTGCTTCTCTTATGTGTAGAGCAGGTGTATATATTTTTCTAATTTTACGATACAGTGGTTAGAAACAAGTAAAAGCAGCTGATGAAATTGAAAAGTACATGTACGTAATAACATGACCACTGGTACAAACTGCTCTATGGGTAGCTATGATCAACATACCAGCTTTCTATTCTGCTACAATAATAACACACTTATTGCATGGCTGCATGGATTTTTTAAGACACAATGTACATGTACATAAGAATCAATAATTGACATTTCAGTTTTATTACTTTTCTTTACCCTTTCCTTTGCCGTTCATTCTGTCTCCTTCAAACTTTTGGGAGAACCCTGCTTATTGACTTCATGAGAGGTCCATACCTGTAGGAAAATGTTTGGGATATGGACTGTGTGATTCTTTAAACCACCAACAACAACAACCACATGAACAAGAGTCAAAGATTTTCCTTCATCTTGCCCTGACCTGACTCCATCAATAACTATTTCTTCTGAGCTTAAAAGTTGAACTGCACACTTTCTAAATGTAATTGAATGTACACATAGCTTGTCATAATATTTATCAATTTGAAACTTTTTTCTCTCCACAGGTCTTACTAATGTAATAACAGTTGATCTTCATTCTAAGGAGATTCAAGGATTCTATGATGCACCAGTTGACAATCTGAGGGCTTCTCCATTTCTTGTTCAGTATATCACAGACAAGGTATTTGCTGAACAACAACAAATTTAATGTCACCATCAGAAAAAAAAGTGACGAATACGTTATTTTACAGGGCTTGAAAAAAAAACTTGAATTCCAGATGAGCAGCTCTCAAATTTTGTTCACCCTGGACAAGTTTTAGTCTCCTCTTTTTTTAATTCAGTTGACATTACTTTCCTGCCAGAAAAATCTACTTGTCCTGGGCAAAGAGAGGGTACTCTTTTCAGGCCATGTTTTGCAGATACAGATATTAAGTATTAGTGCCAATGAAATTATTACATTCAGTTCCTTGGAGGTGTTTCAATGAAAAAAAAGACTAAACTAAAGTAATTACTCTGGCCAATCACAAACTACACAGAAAATCCAGGGAACCAATCAAGACTCAAAGCAAAGACATGTAGTGGGCATAAAGTACAGGAATGTGTTTGCAACCAGGTTATGATTGGTTTTGGTTTTATTTCTGGTTGGATGACAAAGTGACACAAGTTTTTTAAGCCAATTGCTTAACATACATGTATTAGTGCAAAACCAAAGCAAAAGCAAATGCAAATGCTTTCAGCACTTGAGTGAAAAATGGAAAATGCATAATTTCTAGTTACATCAAAAGCCTTCATAAACTACTGTGTTACTACATCAAGGGTATATTTCCAATTGAAGGTTGCTGACTACAGAAATGCTGTAATAGTTGCAAGGAACCCAGGATCAGCCATAAGGTACTGTTAAGGACTGTACAATTAAGCAAATTTAAGAATTACAGCTGTACTGCGCTTCACGTAGCCCTGTTCTCATATATTACTACACAGTAATTTCTACACTACACAAAAATTATCATCTTTGAAATCATTGAATGTCCTTCTTGTGATACAAGAGTCTGGTCTCTTGATACTAGTGGGGGAGTCTTGTCCCTCAATATGAGAGCCTCGTCTTGCAAGACGAGATTCTCATCTTGGGAGAAGAGATTCTTGTCTCATGAGGGGGTGGTCAACTCACTTTTGAGCAGTGCTGTGTATTAAAATACAAATGTTGTAATTATATGACAGTTAGTAAGGAAATGTTATTTTGTTGACTTCTAAACACACATTAAGCAGCTATACTAAAGACTGAAGTTGCCAGGTGCTTTCAACATTGCTTGTTGTGCAGTATGCTGGTAAACAAACCATCCAATGTGTAGGTCCAGAAAATATCCATACCTCCCCCATGGAAGGGATTTTTTCTAAGACCCCCCCCCCCCCCCCCCCCCCCCCCCCCCCCCCCCCCCCCC